AGGTCGGATACGTAGATGTTCGTGTATATATGACAAAGTGACACAGAGATTAGTTTAACATGAAGGATGCAGCTCCAACAATCCAGGCAATGAACAAGCAAAAAGTCCATAAAAGTTACCGAGCAATATTATGGGTAGTAAAAAAGTATTTGAAACTTTGGAGTGGAGAGGAGGCAGCAAAGCATTTTTAGTAGGCCAGAGATGGGGATAAGACGGCATGTTTGGTCAGATGAAAGTGAGAATGTGGGGAGATGGAGGGATCTTGTTCCTTTTTGCAAGTGAAATATAAATGTTTCCTACGCATACAACAACTTTGTCCAGGTAGGAGGGTGGTTGAGGCTACATCTTAGATGGGGTCATGGCCCTCTCATGTGAACCTGCACACACACCATGTACTTGTTTTTTTTGGTCGAATCATATACTTGTATATATAACAAATACAATTCAACAATAAATTGACAAGTCCTTTTACCCATACCAAACTGATGTTGTGATTGGTATAGGAATTTTCAAGTATTAAGAAATTAGGCTAAGTTAGTTACAAATATACTACATAACTTTAGATGGAGCGAAAAAAAATGTACTACATAAGCATTACAAAGCGACTAAACAAAGAATTTTCAAATGACACCATTTTCAAATAGTTATTTACAAATCTCTAAATCCATTGGATGTGTTATTTCAATCCCTCATTTGATGTTTTATAGTGCATCATATACTAATAATGTAGCCTAAATACTTTGATATAAAACTGCTTAAAGGTTAAAAAGCCTTTAGGTTTTACCTAACCCCTCTAGCTAAAACAAAACCTAAAAGATATAAAACTGCAAATTAAGCTATAAAACACCAAAACAAAAACACATAAGAAACGTGAGACAAACTTGTAAGCAAGAAGACCCAAAAAAATCTGAATGCACTCTTTATCACATTAATTGTTTCGTTGATAGTTTGTTCATATCTACTATTCAAGGTGATTCTCTTTTCTATATAATTCTCATGAATGTGATTTGGAATATACTTCCTAAATCATATTTATGGGTTCTGGCCGAAGACTCTTGAATCATGTCATAATGCATTCTCCTTCAATGGTTGAAGGTTCAAGATCCATTGTTGTATACTCATATGCATCTGTAAATGAATCAATGATGCCAACAATGCACAGAGCAAACCCTGGAGTTATGAGGTATCACCAAATGATCAAAGGCATATCCACAAGACAATTGTCGTGTCTTGGGTGAAAATGCCTACTTTGAGTAGTGAGTTATCATATGACATGAGTACGAGAACTCATGTTTGATCATGTTCAGTGAACTCACTCTCTATTCAGCACCTACATACTTACCTTGGTGTCTTTCACACCAATGACTCAAACCAGTCACTATCTGAAGAGAGAAGGCATCATATGTACTGATCTTGCAAGATTGTCAATGTCCAGTTGGCAATACTATGATCAAGAACGTTAGGATACATGTATAAAAGAGAAAGATCTTATGAATCTCACTTCTTTATATTACATTCTCACTATTACATATCCTTTGGACTTATTGCTTAAGCTCACAACATTTAATGAGACAGTTTTGCAATAATCATTACCCTTAGATTAAACTAAATTAGTTTAATATGTGAAATGTTTGTAAAATATCATTTTTTTAATTGGCTTTTAGGGCACATTTTCAACAAGCTAATTCCTCCCTCCCTGTAGAAGCAGCCTCACTAACAGCCGAAGCAACCATCTTGTTGTGATGTGAGATATAGTAACTTGCGTATAGCTTTCATTCCTGGCTAATGTGACACCATATGGGGCAGCGACGATCCTCTTCTCCCCCGTTTCCATACTAGCATTGGCAACTGCATCCTCAAACTTTTTCCAAGGTGTGGAAGATTTTGCACACAAAGATACTGAACTCTCTGCTATCAACCAAGTCAACCTAACAAACCAGAACCACACCTACCATAGGGACCACAACTTGCCAACATGAAGATTTAATAATTCCTGCATGACTATCCTACCTAATTGCCGTGGCACTACTAAGATAGCTCGTTCGACTCTTTTTCAGCCTTTCATTTCACAAGGCTAAGTCGCGAACCAATCAAAGATTCAGTTTGGCAGCCTCATTCTTCTCACAATGATGTACTTGTGATGCAAAAGAAAGACGATCAACAATCAACATTATTATGCCAACACAAAGTGCAGAACTTGGGAAGCAGAGCACAAAGATTACCAAGTACAAACTCAACATGAACCCGTAGACTTGACAATTCATTGCCTTCCTAAGTTCTCTTTGATCTTTTAGATGGCCACATAGGAAGACCCACTTGCCTGCATAGGTTGGAAGGAGGCCATTTGACTCTATGCGCACAAGACCCAACGATCATCTACATCTCCAAAGATCTTCCGAAGCACTTAAAGCCATATGCGCCACTTTTAATATTTGGAATCATGAAGTCATTGCTCTTAATAGGTCAAGAACATTCTTCGAGTTTTGTGCTTATCTTAGCACGCGAGTCACTGGGCCCACGTGCCCTGCAGACATCATTTCGATATTATGCCTAGACATGCCATGACAGTGGACCTGCCCACTTTGTCGGTTGAGAAGAAGAAGAATGGCCTATGCCTAGAAATGGTCGTTGAGCATGCACACATCCCACTACGTAGAACACATCCCACTACGTAGAACACATCCTTGACCAACCAAAAAATTGGAAGCTTGAAGCCCAAGCAGTTCTAAAAGTGATGAGATAATCCTTTACTAATCTCGCATCAATGTTCAATGGGAAAATCGCATAATTACCTTTCAGGTAAGCCTTGAAAGATTTTTTTTTTCTTCGAATCTAGCCTCAGAATACTCATAGCAAATTTCCCTACTTCGAATTGGGTTTCTGCCTGCTTGTATTTTGAATCCTTGATACAACTTACAACTTTCTTTGGAGACGATATCGTGTTATACCTCAAAACATCTGCCAAATAAACGAAGAAAATCTTAAAAGATGCTCATAAGACCTTAATTTAATCAAACGATGTTTCTTTTGATAGTGTTGTTGTAGATGGATTGGCTTTTAGCAACACGGATAGTTGGATCAAAATCCAACGGCTACAAATAAGGGGGCACTCTAAAAGTTATAATAATTATAGCTGTTGAATTTTGATCTAACGGTCTGTGTTGCTTGGTCAGCAGGATTCGGACCCTTTGCTCAGGAGAGGATCCAAATCCTATCCAAGAAGTTCAAAGTAGGGCTGGGTTTGGTTCGAAACGATTCGGATTTTTGCCAAAATCGAAACTGAACCGAAATTTCGGTTCGGTTCGGTTCATTTTTTTCAGTTTTTTTCGGTTCGGTTTCGACCCGGTTTGATTTTTTTTTCCTTCTTCTTCTGCAAACACCTTTGCATTTAATCTTGCACTCACCGGTGCTTCCAGTGAGCATGTATGTTATCCAACATGTTGTGGGTCAAACCATCTCTACCTACAAAATCCAAATTAACTGAATCAGTAACCACTAACCAGAAACTCATAACCTTTCTTACTATTTTTCTGCATTTCGAAGCTCTAAAGTCAAAAAATTTCATCAAGGAAAACCCAAATCGAAATGATCTCCAATTTCACAATTCTCATTAAGCAATCAAATGAATCAAAACCTAAATGAAGGATGTAAAAGCAAAGGAAGGAGATTATCTATAGCAATGAAATTGAAAATAAAATCGCAATCAATACATGATTGTTGCTTCAGTTCCCAGCCAAAAGAAGGAAAAGAAAATCGCAAACCCCATGAAGTTGAAAAGTTGCAGAACCCATGAAATTGAAAATAAAATTTGCAAAACCCATGAAATTGAAAAGAAATCTGTAGAACATGAGAGAAATTACCATGAGACTAACCTTGTAAAGGAAGTCGTGGGTCGTCATCAAGACTCAAAACAGCGAGAGGAAGTCGCAGATCGCGGTCATGGGGGTGAGACTCTGCATCGACATGGAGGGTCTCACAAATATGAAGCTTGGAATAGAAAGGAGGATGAGGGTTATGGAGAAGAATGGAGAAATTTGAGGCACGAACATAGAGATTGAGAGAGTCTGGAGGCAGGGAACAAGAGAGAGAGAAGAGGGGGAATGAAAACTAGAAAAGGTGAGGTGCGGCTACTACCTAGTGGCTAGGGTTAAAAGGGTTTTGTTGATTTCTTATAAAAATTAAAAAATTTCTTCAAAATCCTAAAGGCACAAGGGTTCAAACCTATGCGCTCTAGCTTGAAAAGTTTCAGTGTAACCAACTTGGCAACATATTCTATTTTGTTATGATTGTATGACTAAACTATTTATAAATATTGAAAAAAAAAATTAAATATATACATATCGGTTCGGTTCGGTTTTTTTCGGTTCAGGTTTTTTTGGCCTCGGTCCGGTTCGGTTTTCGGTTTTTTTAACCCACCCCTAGTTCGAAGGCCAAATTGGATGAAACAAAAATGTTCAAACTCCAATTTGACACTAGGTGGAATGATCAAAGCACATATTGGTATATTACAAATTAGCGCTAAATATATTTTATACCTTTCAGATTGAAGGTGAATTAGGAAGTTTTAATTTTTTTCACATTGCACACTAAAGTTTTGAGATTGTATTAATTATACATTTAGCCTACTTGAACGTTTAATCCTCTATTATTTGATAAGTTTTTAATAGCAATATAATGCAAATGTTAGTTAAATATCAGATCATATCCTAGTGTCATACTCACCATATCATCAATTTAATAAAGAATCACATAGGCAATCAGACTAAAAAAAACAAATTGATGTCATTTTAATACCTCATAATGCAATATAACTAAAACACTGTAATCCACGCTCGCATGATACTAATTGGTAGCATTGTCTAATTATCTTTAATTATCTTTCACCCGACATATATAATAATACAATTGACAACAAAAGGTAAAGTCTCATTCCGATTGGTTGGTAAGATAGATATGGATACAACTCGGGTGATAAAATAAGCCCCGTACTCTCTCTGGTCCGCAAAGGGATGGATGGACCATTGAGTATGGAACTGCGCGTGCTAATATACGCCTATATGTTGTACCGTTATATATATGTGCAAACACAGCCCCATGAAACGAAATCAAACAACATCACTTCCAAATTCTCAACCTGTTAGAGAGAGAGAGAGAGAGAGAGAGAGAGAGAGAGAGAGAGAGAGAGGAAAAAGAAGAGAGAGATTAAGAGAAAGATGGAGAAGGAAATGAAGCTATCAAAATTCAAGAGGATTTGTGTGTTTTGTGGAAGTAGTCCAGGAAACAAAAGCAGTTATAAAGAAGCAGCTATTGAGCTGGGAGAAGAACTGGTAATACTAAAACTAATACTCGCTTTTCAACTTGGGTTTGATTTTTTGGGTTTTCTAGCTGAATTTCAAGTAGGTTGATCTTCATTCTTCTACACACACACACACACACACACACAATATACACATATACATATGTATATACGTATATAACGGGTTTATGTTTTCAATTGATGCTCTTAGATTGACATAAGCTTATTAGTTTTGACCATTTGCAACTTCAAGCCTCTGCTTCATGTATCTTACTCTCAATCTATATATGTGTATATACATAAAGAAGGCTGGGAATTAACAATGAAATCATTTTATCTATCCTTCCCACTTTCATGGAACAACCAAATGTAGTTTATTTGACTAGTACCTCTCTCTCTCTCTCTCTCATATGGAAATAGGGTGATTCTAGTATGATGAGAATTTTATTAATTTGTATTCCCTAATAGTGATCATGCACTTCTGTCTTTACTTTTTTCACTAAAAAAAGGTAGAGGACGACTTTTTTAGGGTACAAGTAACAATTCTCCAAAATTATTTTTAGTTACTGAGTATCATTGTGTGATTCATATTTTGCAAAAGGTTTCAAAGAATATTGATTTGGTATATGGAGGAGGGAGTGTTGGACTGATGGGGCTGATTTCCCAAGCTGTTTATGATGGTGGTAGACATGTCATTGGGTGAGGATCTTAATTCTTCCTCCTTGCCTTTAATTCTGCTTTTGGTTTTCAACTCAAACTAATCATTTTTGTCATGTTATTGTCTCTGTAGAGTTATTCCCAAGACACTCATGCCTAGAGAGGTATGTTCTCTATTATTATTTTTTCCCATGGCATTTTACTCTAACACAATATGATGAAAATGACCATACAAAACACAACTTGTGAGAAAAATACACAGAGAGGGAGAGACAGAGACAGAGAGAGAGATATCTACTTTTCTCTTTATTTTTAAAATTATTTTAGAATATTATTTCATGATGAATTTCTACCTCACCTTTGTTATCTTAATATTCTGGGTTTTTCTCATGCCATTTTTGGAGTTCAAGATCGACAGCTAGACTCTCTCTAGCTTAGAAATATGATTGGTGCTCCAATTTTTCAGCTTTCACATGTGGAATTGGTTTTGAATTCATCCCTAAATCCACCTGCCCAATCTTGGGTCTTCCACATTTTTGTCCTTCTCTTCTAGCTTTATATCCCACTAGTAGTTACTCAGATTCTTCATGGAACAAAAATATCAGCCTTTTATACTTGTAATTTTTTTGTATTTTCTATCTCCTTATTTTGAGAAAATTTTAAGGATAAATGAGTGTATATTTATTTTTCAAATTTTCTTTCTCTCTTTCCATGTAATTATAATATGTTGATGTGAGAAGATAGACACAAGAGAATGTGGCATTCAAGATGTCACTAATTCTTTTTGCCTTGTATGGAGTTGCTGACTCAAATGATATTAGATTGAGCCCACCACTGTGCACCACTCATGATTGCTTCTCTTTGGACAAACTGGATCCCTCTGGATCCAACGGATCTGAGCCCACTAATCAATGAATTCGGACCATTGAAATTTTATCTAATGGTTACAAACAGGAGGACTCTCTAAAGTTATAATAATTGTAGCCGTTAGATCAAATTTTAATGATTCGAATTCATTGATTAGTAGGCTCAGATTCTTTTGGATCCGGAAGGGATCCAGTTCCCTCTTTGGCCAACACTATGACAAATCTCTCTCTCTCTCTCTCTCTCTCTCTCTTCCTTTGTGCTTGTTTTTCTACCCAATATCTTCAGTTTTTATTTTTTTTATTTTTATGGGGACCAATTTGTGTGTATTGGCCGAGTTTTCAGATAACTGGAGACACTGTGGGGGAAGTGAAAGCAGTAGCAGACATGCACCAAAGGAAGGCAGAGATGGCAAAGCACTCTGATGCCTTTATTGCCTTACCTGGTTGGTATATAACCTGGCATGTACACACACAACACTGTATACACTTCATACCAAAACACCTTAATAACATAACTTATATTTTCATGGTTTACTTAAAGTTCCCTTGAAATACATGAGAGTAAAAGTTTAAATTGACCATAAAGTAACAAGATAAAATGATATAAAATCCAGCAACAATATGATATATTTTCAGAAGACATAAGTTGAAATGGGCCATATTGTTCATAATTAAAGGCATCAACACCAAGCTGAAAAGAACACTTGGAAAATAAGTTAGTCCTACTGAAATTTTGCTAAAGAATATTTTCCAAGAGAAAATATATTGTGACCAACCCTGTTTAGATTAACCTCAGTGATAAATTTTGTGTAATTTCTGTAAGTCTGGATCTCTCATCTCGACTACAATTTGTGTTATCGGATAATAAGAAATACATATACACAATTATTTACACTCATTTAATAGGGTGTAATCGAAACCCTCATACCCTCATGATCCGCTTGCCGTTTATTAGATTTTAATTCCCAATTAGAAACTGTTAGCCGTTTCATGCTATCTTCTTCCATATCTCTCTGAACAAAAAAACATAAAAGATGAAGGTGTCAGTTGTGGCCCTTAGCAATAAACCATATGTACTTGGAAATCTGCAAAGGTACTGTTAAATGTTAATATATTTCCTGGAGCATTTGGTTTAATATCTTAGTGAATAGGATATTGGATTTTCACCCTATGCATTCGAAGTTCGAAACCCCCATTTCATTAAATTATTGTAATAATTTTAAATCCGATCCCTTCTCTTAATAACAATAAATTAACAAAAAACTGTAATCCTGAAGGGAGAAGGGGGTTTATATTTGGCGTTAGCCGACATTGCAGCAGGAAGCTGCCGGTGGTTTAAATTTTAAATAGTAAAAAAACACACAAAACACTTCATCAAAATAATTAATATATACAGAATTAATTAATTCATATACCTATATATAAAATAAGAAGGTAAAAATGTGAAGCTTTCAAAATCTAAAGGAATGCCCCTCTCTATTTAGGGTTTTCAAAATAAAACAATTTAATTCATAAGGATAAGATAGTTCAAGACATTTTCAATGAAATTAGTATTTGATATTTTTTTTTTTAAGAAAAACACCCGTAGTGGGTGGTTTCATTTTTATTTTTATTTATTTTTGAATAATTACTTTTTTTTTTAATAAAAACTATAAAATTATTATTTTTAGCCTAATATCTACAAACATAATTTAGCATAAAATACCAATTGCTATAGGCGACTATAAGGCTAGTCATTACTTAAATCTGACCACCTTTTTAAATACCTAAAAGGAAAAACTTGGAACATTTCTTTAAAATGTCTTTGTGAGTCTTCCCGACCTCTGAAAATGATAGATAATCGTGACTTTCCACATGTTGTTCCTTTTTTTTATTTAAAAAAAAAAGGGAGGTTGACAACCTGTATAGACACAAAACAAAATGAAAAAAAACGAAAAAAAAAAAAAAGGGAAAGAAGAAGAATATTAACCCTTTCACCAAATCGACCAAATGCCAGATGAAAATGGTCCTTAGTAAGATGTGGCCTGCACGTGAAATAAGACAAAAAAGTTTCACGCTGACTCTTAACCCTTTTAACCAACTTGTCCTCCATTTATTCATCTTTCAATTTTTTGGGACATTTATTTAATTTAGGAGCTGGAACACTTTTTTCAATCCTATCCTAATTCCTATCCATGTAAAACCCAAGCTCACTACTAAAGTTTGCTAAAAGGGAGCGGGGTTTGCACTTTTGGGCACCGTTTCTACGGTGATTTGGGTAGAAGGTGGTGTTGCTATTGTTATTGGATAATTTCAAGACTTCGATTTTGACCATCTGCATTCTAAACTGAAAACGTATAGCAAACTAAAGGCGTGTAGCATTCTCTAATAACTTAAAAAAAGTAGGTCAAGATCACTAACATATTTTGTCCATAAAAACAAAATCACCAACCTTTTCATATTAACAAATTAGGCCGACATTTTGGGCCTCAAGTTCAGTCTAATTGGGTTCATTCGAAGCTCCTTTAGTTAAAGTGAAAAGGGCAAAAAGAGGATTGGATCATTATTATTTTATTTATTTATTTCTTTTTCTTTGAATGTATGAAGGTGGCTATGGAACTCTTGAAGAGCTTCTTGAAGTGATAACATGGGCTCAACTGGGCATTCATGACAAACCGGTAATGCCTATGTTTGTGCTTTAATTAATTTATTTGTAGCCTAGGTACTTAAAGTGACTCGATTAGTTCAAATCCACATCTTTAAAATGAAGAATTCGAGGTCTTATGATCTTATGAACATCTTCAGGAAAATGTTCTCTTAATAAACTGTTTCAAACTGCGAATTTTTATCATCGATCATGTTGGATTTTTGCCCAAGTTTACATTCTGGATTTCACAATCTGAAAACAGAATTTGGCAAGAAAACTATTTATCACCATTTTCTTTAAATCGTAAGATGGATTAAAAATGTCCTTTTTTCAGGTTGGTTTGCTGAACGTGGATGGGTACTATAACTCCTTGTTGTCATTTATCGACAAGGCAGTAGAGGAAGGTTTCATTAGTCCAACAGCACGCCACATAATTGTTTCTGCTCCTACTGCCAAGGAGTTAGTGAAGAAAATGGAGGTAATTAATCAAAAGGTTTTTACAACTTCTAGTACTTTTTTTTTTTTTTTGCTGCATTTGCATGTACTAATTAAACTTGATCTGCATATTTTTTTACTTTTCATCAGGAATATTTTCCACGCCATGAAAGAGTTGCTTCAAAGCTAAGCTGGGAAATTGAGCAGTTAGGCTATCCCCCAATTTTGTAACATTTCAAGGTGAGCATATTATTAAGGACATGGTAGAAAGCTGAAAGCGGATGGCTTAGCTCTTCAGTGCTGTGCTGAAAGGAATTAATTTTAGATTTTAGATGACTGAAACCTTCCTGAACTGGGAATTCCATTTTTCTGTATTTCCCTTTCTGTTAGTGTAAAACTCAAAGAAATAAAACAAAAACTAATTTGACCTCAACAAGTTATGTAGCCTTGATTAATTATGGTCTTCAGTTTGAGATCTGGTTTTAATTAAAACTAGAAGAATTGATGCCTGAGCGTTGCGGCGGGTTAAAAAAATTGTCTTGCAGTTCAAATCTTATCTTAAAGAAGAGCGGTAATTCTTTTTGTTATTTAGATAACAGCAGCATCACATTAAAGCAAGTGACATGTAATATAAATAATAGAACAAAATTAAATATTTTAAGAAAGTGACCACAACACAATGTGATTGCATAAGAGTACACATGTAGTATGCGGTTTAATAAGCTTGTTCTTATTGACCATAACTTGGTTTACACATATTTAGAACGACGCTATCTGCACATATACAACGGATGACAAAAGTTCCACACTGAAACACCAACATACAAATAATATGATTCACACACCTACCTATCTTTATCCTATAAATTAATTTCCCACCTGTCCCTAGAGACTCGAGAGCGAAAGGGAGGGTCTAAGTGGATAAAAAATGATTTATGACTCTAAAATCTTCTTCATCTGACCAATTATTAGGATTTGCAGGCAAGTATATTGTGTGAACAACCAATTTGTTTCGATGGTAAACCCATTCTTGTTTTCTCTATTTAGTGTGCAGTTGATGTGCCTGGTCTTGGAGCAGTGTCTGAAAATTTAAATTTAGTTTCTCGAAATTTTTTATTATCTCAAAACTCCTTAAAATTTTATTCACCAATATTCCTTATTTTTCTCTCGATCAATTTCTTTCAACATTTTATTTGCTCTGAATAACAGATATAATACAACATCAACAACAATAGTACATAGAAATGCACGACAGAGGATATGAAGCTTGAAAAGCAAACTTTTTAAGAACATCCATTAAACGTAAAAGAGAATCAAAAGGAAAAACAGGTAAAAGAGAGACACATGTTGAAATGCGTCCAACAATCGCATGACTATGATTAAAACCAAAAACAAATGTCTAGTATGCTCTTTAGGGTTTAGGACCAATACCCAAACTCACTTTAGATTCACAACCATATAATTTTTTGTGGCCTTGTTGAAAAGCTTCCATCATCTTTAAAACTGTTGAAGAACGCTTCCCTTTCCCTCCATCTCTCTGTAACAGCTACCCTCTCCAAAACTGCCCGGCCAAGCGTTGAAGGGGAAACAGGCCACGCATAAAAGGCCCAAAAAAATATACAACCCGCCCCAAGCAAAAACCCAGCCCCCAAACCAACGGCAATTCCGTTAAAAAAAAAAAAATACCCAATTGATATTGCTCTGCAGCTAAGCAACAGTGCCACCCCTCCCAACAAACCCAAGGCCCGACCCTTTTTCAAATCTTAAAAAAGATCGTAATTCCCTAAATAAACTCAAATCCCAAATCGAAATTACACTATCACCAAGCTATAGTGTGCCACCCACAAAAAGTCTATGGAAGTTCAATTTTTAGACCACATGCAAAGGATTGAAAAAAAAAAAAAAAAACACATTTTACGAACATCAAAGCAAACATACCAGGGTCTAGGGCTTAAACCCCAACACCAAAACAAATATAAATGAGTTCACAATACTGAGCAGCACCTAAGTTTATCATTCTATGCTTTGTACGAAGACAGAAAACATGATCTTCAACCTAACTACACAACAAGCTTTGGATTCTATAAAATATTTCTATATTATCCAAAAATAGCATGAACGGGGAGAACATGACATCACATAGAACGATCTCAGGCCGCATACAGTTTCATTTTTTCATAACCAAAAGAAATAACAAAACACACGCAAAAAACAAACATAATGCAAAGGTAACAAATGTAAACCCACACTGTCACTCTATGATTCAATTTGGATGAACATTAACCACAACAAATCATGATCTACCAAAATAAAAAACCTAAAGCTCATCGGTTCACTGGCATGATAAACAAAAATGGTGCACATAATATAAGAACACCAAAAATACAACTTCATACCGTCGAGAAAAAAAAAAGCTTAAAACCCCAATGAACAATAACTGTAAAGACATAAGCCCAAACAAATATAAACCTTTTCTTCAGAAATACAATGATAAATTTTCTTTCACTAGAAAAAACATAATGTTAGAAAATTCAAAGCTTCCATTACCTTTTGAACCACACAACTTTCATATAATCAGAAATCGTCAAACCCTTGAGAAAACATCAAATTTCTTAAATTACATCAAATTTATATAAAAAATATAAATATTAAAAATCAGAACCCAAACTTAAAAGTCAAAATTAAATTAGTAAATAAATTTAAAAAACCTATATGGTACCTGCCCTGTGATTAATCCATGGAAGAAAATATCGATAATATCGGCGAAATATCGCCGATATTATCGGTTTTTCAGGTAATGGATATTTAAATAGGTATCCAAATGGTTTTCGGCAAAATATCGCGATATTATCGATATTATCGATAATATCGCGATATTTTGGAAATATCGCGATATTTTTTTAACCGTGCTACTCGGAGAAGAACGCCGGAGCTTCTACAGCTCCGGCCGACCACAAACAAGGGTTCTAGACCCCGATCTAGGTATCAAACAAAAGCACGAGACGAGAGGAGTGCGTTTATACCTTCCATTTGCCGTGAAACGACCCGTGGTGGTCGGAAAACCTCTCGACACCCACGGTCTCGCCAGAGATGGGTGCGCCTATTCCCGGGCTGATTCCGTGCTAAATCCTTGGTAAAAAGGACAGAATAACCTCAATAATCACATCCAAGCAACAAACCAACACGGAAAGAGAGGTTCGAGGCTTACCTAACCATAACCCATGAAGAACTCGCCGGAGGTTCTTGGGGTTTCGTCGAGTTGCGCAGCGACGGGAGAGAGAGAAAGAGAGAGAGAGAGACGACGGCGTGTAGAAGGTGATGACGATGTCGTCGACGGAGTACCACGAAGGATGTGCGTGGGTGCTCTCGGGTGTGGGTCAAAGGGTGAAAGAGTGAGGGTCTTCGAGAGAGGGAGAGTGAGTGCAGAGAAGAAAGAAGGAGAAAGAGGTCACGGGGTGGGGAGAGAGAGAGATACGTGAGGGTGCTAGGGTGCTGCCATGTGGTAGCTTGAGAGAATTTGGAAATCAAAATGAATGGTCCAGATTTGGTTAAGATAGGGGACTAAAACGATAATTTCATAATTATTTGGGGAACCACGAAAATATATAAAAATTTGGGGTTGGGTTGTTACAGTGTGTCTGTGCGTGTGTGTGTAGAAGTGGGGTGCACTTTGAAGTGTGTGTGTGTGTAGAAGTGGGGTGCACTTTGAAGTGTGTGTGTGTGTGTGTTATCCAAGAGAAGAAAAAAAAAATCCAAACCTGCTTTCAAAATATCCAGGCTATGTGTCAGTCTGTGTGTGTTATCTGAGAGAAAAAAAAATGCAATATATAAAGTGTAAAATATTGTACTAATTCATTATATATAATGATTGTGGTGTCTTTAAACTTTTTTCATTAATTACTACATATTTTTTACACTCACAATGTTTGCCAGCTCGCTATATAATCAATTTAAATCAGTTAAATCCATCATGCAATGCATTTCCTTCCAATTTTTTGTGATAAACTAATAGATAATTGACTAAATAAACATCTTACAAAGTTTCAATTAAAATTTCCAAGTTTTTCTTACAATTTCCGTGGTTTCCATATAATTTTTATCGATATCGATATTTTACCGATATTTCCATCGATATTTCCGTGTTTTCGGACTACCGATATTTCCGATATTACCGATATTTAATACCTTGGATTAATCCAAACAAAATACAATTTCCAATATCCAAAAATATAAATATTAAAAACCAGAACCCAAACTTAAAAGCCAAATTGTGATTTGTGTGCGCATATGTGTTAAAATTAGGTCGAGATAGAGAGTACTAATGAGATGAAAAATAAACAATCATTCCATTAAAAATGCAACTCATCATAAATTCAACAAAGAAAAGAGAAACCCATAAACCAAAACCACTCAATTCCTAAAATCAACTGTAAATCACAAAAACCACTACCTTATAATAGTAGGACATAACTCCTACACATCACTAATCGAAAGGACATGAAAATGGAAAACTACAAGAACTATTACAGTGGTAATATGAACAGCAGAAGAAAAAAAATAGCAATTGAAGCATGCAGTGAAACCAAATCCTCACAAAACAGAGAAACACAGTGGATAGCAGAACAACTCACCTTCGAAGAGAAAAACACAGAGGATAGTATAACATAACCAGAAAAATAAAATGAGCATAAACAGGTCCTTAAAGCAACAAAACAAAAAGAACACAAAAAGCACTCTCCAATCCCCAAATTCATTAAAAAAAATCACAAAAGCATGAGTTGAAACCTAACCAAACAGTAAACCACATATTAAAAAATGACTCATCTTGTCAATTAGCAAATGCAGACACAAGAAAGACCAAGAATGAGCAAACTTGGACAAAATCCGCACATGCAGATACATAATGGACAAAAGGTGAGGAAAACGTGCACACAACGACCCTGACTTTCCACTGCTCGACATGAACAACCCTCATTCTCTCTCCCTCTCTCTCTATAAGCCGCATGCCCTACCTTTCTTCATGCCTCTATAAACCATCACCAACCACGAATGTGTCGTGCGCCATTGAGGTCACCCTGCCCTAATTCCTACACCTACCCCTCTCTCTCTATCTCTCTCTCTTTCCACAACATCCCCTCCCTCCCCTCAGCCTCCGGCCTACTCTCTCCCTCTCTATGTAAACCCTCATCAAACACGAATGTCCTAGGCCCCCATCGAATCCACCCAACCCTAATTCATGTGCCCATCACTCCCTCTCTTGCTCTCTCTCTTTCTGCCACAACCCCTCTCTCTCTCTCCCTCGAACCCACCACGTTAACGGGTCAAGAACAATTGGAATTCCAAAACTGCCAGCCAGGTTTTTCAGGAAACCATAGGATTCAAACCCATATGGGCAAAATTGTCATTTCAAAGCCCAAGCGAGCCTAAGCGCTGGATGACACACCCCGACCTGGTA